GGAGGCTTAGACCATGACATCATGAACTCTCAGGCAGAAATCCACCGGCTCAAATCAGAGTATGTTGAGGCTCACAGTATTCATACTAGGATTCTTGAAGGAACCACTATACAGGATCCCTACAGCTATGGTCTTGCTTTAGTTAATATCGCTGAAATTGATGGGCTGATTGGTTCTCCAAAGGATGATGTGCAGAGGAATTGTGACAGAGCCAGAAAAATGTTAGACACTTTGGGTAATGCTGAGGGAGTGACAATGTGTGATATTATTCTTGCAGATCTCCACCTGAGGGAGGGAAATCCATTGATAGCACAAACTATTTTAAAAAGGTGCCTGAAAGTGACTCTGTACTCCCAGCTCCAAACTTATTGTCTGGAACGGCTTGGTGATACCAGTTGCTGGGGTTGTTTGCATGGGATGCTGAGCTGGGCAACTGTTTTCTTGTTCACTCTTTCAAAAGAAAAGAGAAGGTCGGAATCTACAAGGCTCTCCGATCCTTAGGAGATATCTTCCGTGCACAACATGATGAGCATACAGCCACCAGTTTGTTCACAGTTGCTCTAGAGGGATTCACCAAGATGGATGTGCATCACAGCAGAGCTGAATGCATGCTACGACTTGGAGACATTTCTATGGGACACAGTGAGCCACTCAAAGCAGTGGAGTTTTGGGAGAGAGCAAGACCCTTGTTTGAACGTTCCTCGCAGGCCAAACAAGTTCAGCGCATTGATGAAAGGATTGCCAATATCAGTGAAGATGTGCTGGAGCAACACAGAAACAACTTGGCTCATCTGGCAGAGCTCAATGCACTGACTGGGACTATCAAGGAACTGGAGGAGGATTTATCTGATATCAAAGGCCTGGATAAGGCAGATATTGATGATGAGAAAGAGCTTGATCTGTTTACAGCCTGAGGCTTGCAGGAATTGTGTATTTTTTTGTGGTGATTTTCTGTGTTGTCATTTATGGTTTACTCCCTGTGGTTTGGTTTGAAATGAATGAGCATATTTATTTAATAAGAGACTTGGGTGTAATTTCATCTTGAGAGGATACAGTTCCGTATTGTCGGGCAAAAACACAGATGACCCGAATTGTTTCTACATACGCTGTATGTGTTGGCAAAATTTGCCAGCGAGGCCAAACGTGTTTTGAATAAAAAGTTCATGATCGATTTCGCACAGTTCGAGTGCGGGGAGTCAACGGCGGTCTGCAGCAGCAGAAGCTGCGGAAAATTACTGAAAGCCACCGTGCACCTTGCACTACACCCGAGTTGAATGCTCAAACAGACCGTGCATAAATTAGCTCCTTCCAGGGACTTGAGACCGACTCTGCATAATCTGGCGAGGAAGTTGGGGGGTGTCAGGGTCACCGGTTGGATTTCGCATTGGACAAGATATATACATACATATAAATCTCCTTCCAGGAAGAACAAGGAGAATTTGAAAGAAAAGTAGAGTCCATCCAATTAAACGGAAGGCACCACCGTGACGATGTAAAAAATTGGATCAGCCTGGGGAATTCAGGTGCGGGGAGTCGAGCCCCAGTCTGTGGCTCAGCTTCGTCGCCAAACGATTGCAAGCCGCCGTGCACCATGCACCACACCCGAGTTGAATGCTCAGAAGAGACTCCGCATACATTAGATACTTCCCAGTACATTCTGAAACCGACTCTGCATAATCTGGCAATCGAGATAGTTGAGGTTTAGAATCAGCCTTGAACGCAGTATATACATACTTATTTCCGTGCAGAACAAGGCGAAGAAGGAAGCGAAGTAGAGTCCTGCCAAGTCAACGGAAGGTTAAGATAACAGAAAAAAGACGACAACGATGGCAAATTCGGATGCGGGGAGTCGAACCCCGGTCTGCGGCTCAGTCTCTTCGAGACTGATGATTGCAAGCCGCTGTGCACCGTGCACCATACCCGAATTGTTTCTATATAACCTATGCTGTTTGTACCCGTCGCAAGAATTTGAACGTGCTAGGAGGTGAACGTTAACTCAGACAAAGGCTCAAGTAAAAAAACAAAACGATCTAGCTCTGGGGCGAAGTTCGGGCGCGGGGAGTCGAACCCCGAGCTGCAGCTTATCGTGAAGTTTCAAACATGATCACATACTCTCCGCTGCCGTGCGCCGTGCACTACACCCGAGTCAAGTACTCAAATCAAAAGAGATCCTGCATAAATTAGATACTTACCGGTACATTCCTGAATTCTACCCTGGCTTTGGATACTCTGGCCATGGAGATATAATAGCTGAGTCCGGGTACCGGTTGGATTCAGCTTTGAATGTGATATATACTGTATAGTGACTTCTGTCCAGGAAGAAGGAGAAAAAATCAACCGCCAGTGCATCATTCGGGTGCGGGGAGTCGATCCCCGGTCTGCGACCCAATTGCACAAGTCACCTTTATTGAAAGCCGTCGTGCAATATTTCATTAGAACCTACATTTGTTGTATGCGTTGGGAAATTTTGCGTGTTTTTTCGAATAAAAAGTTCAATTCAAACACACCTGCAGTATCAGTTCGAGCGCGGGGAGTCGAACCCCGATTTCTTTGCAACTGACATTCATGTTGATCGTCATTATTCAGAGAAAGCTGCCGTGCACCACGCACCACACCCGAGATGAATACTCAAAAGAGACACCGTATACATTAGATATTTTCCAGTGCAACTCTGCATAATTTGACCATGGAGGGGCTGAGGTGTCAGTTGGGTATCAGGCACTGGTTGGATTCAGGTTTGAATGTGGTGGTGATTTTTGTTCAGGCAGGAGAGGAAGGAAGCAGAGTAGAGTGCCGCCGATTGAACGGAAGGTAACAGAGAAAGAAAGAAAAAAAGTAGAAGAACCTATCGAAAACTCGGGTACGGGAGTCGAACCGCTGCCTGAGGCAGAAATGTCCACATTACTGGAAGCCGCAGTGCGCCGTGCACCACACCGGAATTATTTCTTTATAGCCTACATACGCTGTATGCGTCGCAGAAATTCAAACGGTGAACTGCCTTCGGATAAAAAGATTGTATGGTCGAGGGGAAGTTCGGGCGCGGGGAGTCGAACACCGATTTTTTGCAGCCGAAGGTCATGATGATCGCTCCGTTTCAAGGAACACTGCCGTGCACCATGCACTACACCCGAATTATCTGTCTAATTGCCGTTCTTTACGTTGGAGAAATTTAAAACGCATGCATGGCTCGAAAAAAAAAACCGACCTTTTGGATAAATTATTGGATGTGGGGAGTCGAACCCTGGCTGCGGCCTAATCGCATGAAGTGTCTGTTATTGAAAGCCGCCGTACACCGTGCACTACACCCGAATTATCTGTCTAATTGCCATTCTCTACGTTGGAGAAATTTAAAACGCATGGCTCGAAAAAAAAACCGACCTTTTGGACAAATTATTGGATGTGGGGAGTCGAACCCCAGCTGCGGCCTATTCGCATCAAGTGTCTTTTATTGAAACCCACCGTGCACCACACCCGAATTGCTTCTAAATAACCTACATACGCTGTATGCGTTGGCAAAATTTGCCAGTGAGGCAAAACGCGTCTCGAATAAAAAATATATCAATTTCGCCCACAGTTCGAGTGCGGGGAGTCGAACCTCGGTCTGCAGTGTGAACTCTGGTAGTCACTGGCAGCTAATGTGCACCATGCACCACACCCGATTTGTTTCTTGAGAATACGCTGTATGCGTTGGAGAAATTTGAACTGGGATTCCTCGAATAAAAAGGATTTCTCAAAAGCGAAGTTCGGGCGCGGGGAGTCGAACCCCGATGTTTTTTGCAGCCGAAAATCATGATGATTGCTCGTTTTCAAGGAACACTGCCGTGCACCGTGCACCACACCCGAGTTGAATACTCAAAAGAGACTCTGTATACATTAGATATTTCAACATAATTTGGCCACGGAGGAAGTCGAGGCGTCAGGCCCTGGTCGGATTCAGGTTTGAATGTGGTGGTATATACTGTATAGTGATTTTCGTTCAGGCAGGAGCGGAAGGAGAAAGAAAGAAAAAAAAGCCGAAGAATTTGTGGACAATTCGGTTGCGGGGAGTCGAACCCCAATTTATTAGCAGCCGCAAATCATGATCCGTTCCAAGGAACACTGTTGTGCACTGTGCACCACACCCGAATTGTTTCTTTAGACTCTGTACGCGTCGGAGAAATTTGGTCCGCGACCATAGCTCAAAAAATAGTTCTTTGAATTGTCGGGGATTTCGGGTGCGGGGAGTCGAACCCCGATCTGCGGCTCAGCCTACTCGACACAAATTATTGCAAGCCGCCGTGCGCCATGCACCACACCCAAGCCGAATGCTCAGCAGAGAGTCTGCATAAATTAGACACTTCCCAGTACATATCTGAAACTGACTCCGCATAATTTCGCCATGACGAAAGTCGAGGCGTCAGGCCCTGGTTAGATTCAGGTTTGAATGTGGTGGTGATTTTCGTTCAGGCAGGAGAGGAAGGAAGCAAAGTAGAGTCCTTTCAATAGAACGCAAGGTGAACAGAAAGAGAAAAAAAGCCGAAGAATTTATTGACAATTCGGTTGCGGGGAGTCGAACCCCAATTTCTTTGCAGCCGACTATTTTGCTTCACTATAAATGGATGCTGCCGTGCACCGTGCACCACACCCGAATCATTTCTCTAGAACCTACATGCGCTGTATGCGTTGGAGAAATTTGAACAGGGATTCCTCGAATAAAAAGGATTGCTCACAACCGAAGTTCGGGCGCGGGGAGTCGAACCCCGATTTTTTTGCAGCCGAAAACCATGATTACTGCTCATTTTCAAGGAACACTGCCGTGCACCGCGCACCACACCCGAGTTGGATGCTCAAAAGGGCCTCTACATACATTAGATACTTCCCAGTGCCTATCTGAAACCAACTCTGCATAATCTGGCCACAGAGATAGTTGAGGTCGGATTCAGCCTTGAACACGATACATACCCACGTTATTTCCGTGCAGGAAGAAGAAGGAGTCCGAGAACAAACGGAAGATTACACCAAAAAAAAAAGTTGCCAAATTTATCAACAATCGGGCGCAGGGAGTCGAACCCCGATCTGCGGCTAGAGAGGCACCCATCACTGAAAGCCGCAGTGCACCATGCACTACACCCGAGTTGAATCCTCAGCAGAGAGTCTGCATAAATTAGACACTTCCCAGTACATATCTGAAACTGACTCTGCATAATTTGACCATGGAGAAAGTCGAGGCGTCAGGCCCTGGTTGGATTCAGGTTTGAATGTAGGGGTATATTCGTTCAGGCAGGAGAGGAAGGAAGCAAAGTCAAGTCCCGCCAATTGAACGCAAGGTAACAGAAAAAGCCTGAGAAAGAAAAAAAAGCCGAAGAATTTATGGACAATTCGGGTGCAACCCCAATTTCTTAGCAGGCCAGATCCCGGAATATATACAAGGAACGCTGCCGTGCACCGTGCACCACACCTGAATTGTTTCTTGAGAACCTACATACGCTGTATGCGTTGGCAAAATTTTCCAGTGAGGCAAAACGCGTCTCGAATAAAAGATTCAAGACCTGCATAGTTCGAGTGCGGGGAGTCGAACCCCGGTCTGCAGCGTGAACTCTGGTAGAAACTCTAGTCACTGGCAGCTGATGTACACCATGCACCACACCCGAATTGTTTGTCTAGAACCTGCATACACTGTATGCGCTGGAAAATTTTGCCAGTGAGGCCAAACGTGTCTCGAATAAAAGGTCCAATTCTACTTGAATTCTTCGCCAGTTCGAGTGCGGGGAGTCGAACCCCGGCCTGCGGCTGCTTCACGTGGAAATGCCCGCAACTGGCTGCCGCCGTGCACCGTGCACCACACCCGAGTTGAATGCTCAAACGAGACCTTGCATACATTAGATATTTTGGCGTGTCGGCCTGTGGTTGAATTCAGCTTTGAACACAATGTATTCATACCTATTTCCGTCGATGAAGAAGAACGAGCGGAATTGGAAGGAAATTCGAGTCTTTTCAACAGGACGGAAGGTAACACAATTTTTGTTGAAAAAAAAGTCGACATCCGTGGACGATTCGGGTGCGGGGAGTCGAACCCCGGTCTCCAGCGTGAGCTCTGGTAGAAACCTTCCACACTGGCAGCTGATGTGCACCATGCACCACACCCGAATTGTTGCTATGTAACCTCCATACGCTGTATGCATTAGCAAAATTTGCCTGGGAGGCAAAACGTGTTTCGAAACAAATACAAGATCAGACCGCCACAGTTCGGATGCGAGGATTCGAACCCCGGTCTCCAGCGTGAACTCTGATACAAGCCTTCCTTCATCACTGGCAGCCGTTGTGCACCATGCACCACACCCGAATTGTTTCTATGTAACCTACATACACTGTATGCGTTGGAGAAATTTGAACAGGGATTCCTCGAATAAAAAGGATTGCTCAGAAGCGAAGTTCGGGCGCGGGGAGTCGAACCCCGACACCGTGCACCACACCCGAATGAATGCTCACAAGAGACCCACATACATTAGATATGTCCCAGTACCTGAGACGGACTGTGCATGATTTGGCCATGGACTCGAAAGTTGGGCGGCGTTTCGAAATGTGGTTGAATTCGGCCTTGAATGTGATATATGCACCATTCAGGAAGAATAGTGAGGAGAACTTGAAAGAAAAGTAGATTCCTCTCAATTGAACGGAAGGTAACAGAAAAAATGAAAAAAAAAACCCTCTAAACATGCATTCGAGCACGGGGAGTCGAACCCCAGTCTCCAGCATGAGCTCTGGTAGAAAGCCTAGTCACTGGCAGCTGATGTGCACCATGCACCACACCCGAATTGTTTCTACGTAACCGCCATACGCTGTATGCATTGGCAAAATTTGCCTGGGAGGCAAAAGGTGTCTCGAATAAAAAGTCCAATTCTATTTGAATTCTGCACCAGTTCGAGTGCGGGGAGTCGAACCCCGATCTATAGCAGAAATAAACACTGAGCGGGATGGTACTATTAGCCGCCGTGCACCGTGCACCACACCCGAGTTGAATGCTCAGCAGAGAGTCTGCATAAATTAAACACTTCCCAGTACATATATGAAACCAACTCTGCATAATCTGGCCACAGAGATAGTTGAGGTCGGATTCAGCCTTGAACACGATACATACCCACGTTATTTCCGTGCAGGAAGAAGAAGGAGTCCGAGAACAAAGAGAAAAGTAGAGTTAAACGGAAGTTTACACCAAAAAAAAAAAGTTGCCAAATTTATCGATAATCCGGCGCAGGGAGTCGAACCCCGATCTGCGGCTAGAGAGGCACCCATCACTGAAAGCCGCAGTGCACCATGCACTACACCCGAGTTGAATCCTCAGCAGAGAGCCTGCATAAATTAGACACTTCCCAGTACGTATCTGAAACTGACTCTGCATAATTTCGCCATGGAGAAAGTCAAGGCATCAGGCCCTGGTTGGATTCAGGTTTGAATGTGGTGGTGATTTTCGTTCAAGCAGGAGGGGAAGGAAGCAAAGTCGAGTCCCGCCAATTGAACGGAAGGTAAAAGAAAAAGCATGAGAAAGAAAGAAAAGTCGAAGCAATTATGGACAATTCGGTCGCGGGGAGTCGAACCCCGGTCTCCAGCGTGAACTCTAATAGAAACTTTTATACTAGCAGCTGATGTGCACCATACACCACACCCGAGTTGAATGCTCAAAGGAGACCCTGCATACATTAGATACTTCCCAATACCTGAAAACGACTCTGTATACTTTGGCCATGGAGAAAGTCGAGGCGTCGGCGTGTGGTTGAATTCAACGAACAAACTATTGATATATACATACGTCCAGGAAGAGGGCGAAGAAGGAAGCGAAGTAGAGTACCTCCAATATTTTATTGGACGGAAAGGATCCCAAATCTTTTTGAAAAAAAATTCAGCCGTCAGTGGATGATTCGGGTGCGGGGAGTCGAACCCCGATTTCTTAGAACCTATATGGATTGACACAATTTAAAGTGCATGCATGACTCGGGGAAAAAAAAATGTCACACAATAAGGATTCGGATGCGGGGGGTCGAACCCCGGTCTGCGGCCTCAAAATGTCACCCGAATTATTGAAAGCTGCCGTGCACCCTGCACCACACCCGAGCTGTTTCTCTATAACCTACATATACTGTATGCATTGGCCAAATTTGCAGTGAGGCAAAACGTCTTCGCTCACGAGTCTAGGTCGAGTGCGGGAGTCGAACCCCGATCTGCGGCTGCAATCACTGCGGAAAATTACCGAAAGCCGCCGTGCACCCTGCACCACACCCGAATTGTTTCTATACAACCTACATATACTGTATGTGTTAATATCTGACCATTGATTCAGAGCTACGCGTCAACTCCACAGCGCTGCCGCACGCAAGCAAAAATATATTCAAAACCAGTTACGTATTTCCTCTCACTGGTTCTTACGACGTACTTGAGTGAGAGTTATGTGTATTTGTTAGCTATCTGCTAGTGAGGCAAAACGTGTTTCGAACAAAAAGTAAGATAATTACACCCACAGTTCGAGTGCGGGGAGTCGAACCCCGGCTGCGGCCTAATCGTACAAGTTACCATCATTGAAAGCCACCGTGCACCATGCGCCACACCCGAATCATTTCTCTAGAACCTACATTTTCTGTATGGGTTGGCAGAAGTTAAAGTGCATGACTCGGAAAAAAAAAATGTCACACAATAAGGATTCGGATGCGGGGAGTCGAACCCCGGTCTGCAGCTGATCATGGACTTCAGGAAAATTATTCCCGGCTGCCGTGCACCGTGCACCACACTCGAGTTGTTTATCTAGAACCTACATACGCTGTGTGCGTTGGCAAGGATTTGAACGTGCGGGGAGCCCACATAACATTTTTTCAGCTAAAACCTCACGCCGTCCTATAGCTGGTAAATCTTGCGTTTTAATATCGACCAAATGGACGCTGCCGTGCACTGAATGGATCAGAGAATTCGAACCAAAATATGGCTCGAATAAAAAAGTTTTTTATGTGTAGTTGAAAATTTCGAGCGTGGAGTCGAACCTCGATCTTCAGCAGGAAGGGTTGATCAAGTCATATTGGCTGCCGCCGTGCACCGTGCACCACACCTGAATTATCTGACTAGTTCCTATTCAACAGACCTTGGAAGGAAAAAGAATATACAACATGTATAATTCGGATACGGGGAGTCGAACCCCGGTCTACGGCTCAGCATCGTCACCAAACTATTGAAAGCCGCCGTGCACCGTACACCGTGCACCACATCCGAATTATCTGTCTAATTGCCACCCTATAGACGTTGGAGAAATTTAAAACGCATGCATGGCTCGAAAAAAAAACCGACCTTTTGGATAAATTATTGGATGCGGGGAGTCTAACCCCAGCTGCGGCCTAATCGCATCACTGCCGTGCACCGTGCACCACACCCGAGTTGAATGCTCCAAAGAGACTCTACATACATTAGATACTTCCCAGTACCCGAAATCAACTCTGCATAATTTGGCTATGGAGAAAATCGAGGCGTCAGGAACCGGTTGGAAAGTTCAGCTTTGTTCACGACACATGCACACCTATTTCGGTGCAGGAATAAGAGGAAGAACAAGGAGATGAAGGAAGAAAATGAGAACCGAAGGTAACACCAATCTTTTTGAAAAAAAAAAAAATCAACTGCCAATGGATCATCCGGATGCGGGGAGCCGAACCCCGGTTTACGGCCCCATGTCATCTTCTCATTCATTGAAAGTCGCCGTGCACCCTGCACCACACCCGAATTGCATCTATCTACTATAGACATTGTAGATACGGTTGGAGGAAATTGGTCTACGACCATAGCTCGAATAAAAAATCGGAGATAGATGGATAGCTCGGATGCGGGGAGTCGAACCCCGATTTCTTTGCAGCTGACATTGATGTTGATGGTCATTATTCAAGGAACACTGCCGTGCGCCGTGCACCACACCCGAGTTGAAGCTCAAAACGGACTCTGCATACATTAGATATTTTCCAGTGCAACTGTGCATAATTTGACCATGGAGAAAGTTGAGGTCTCAGTTGGGTATCAGATAGTAGATACTGGTTGGATTCAGGTTTGAATGCGGTGGTATATATAGTGATTTTCGTCCAGGCAGGAGAGGAAGGAAGTACAGTCAAGTCCCGTCAATTGAACGCAAGGTGAACTGAGAAAGAAAGAAAAAGCCGAAGAATTTATGGACAATTCGGGTGCGGGGAGTCGAACCCCAATGTCTTAGCAGCCAAGATCCCGGCGCACATATGTTTCGAATAAAAAGGATCCATTTCGCCCAGTTCGAGTGCGGGGAGTCGAACCCCGAGTTGCAGCCCACACATGTTGATACTACTTAAAGAACGCTGCTGTGCACCGTGCACCACACCCGAATCGTTTCTTCAGAACCTGCATACGCTGTACGCGTTGGAGAAATTGATCCGCGACCATAGCTCGAAAAAAAAGTCCTTTGCATTGTCGGGGATTTCGGGTGCGGGGAGTCGAACTCCGGTCTGGAGCTTCTTCCGGTTGAAGGAGCTACTTTTGGTTTCCGTGCGATGCACCACACCCGAGTTAAACTTGATGTGCTGAACCCTACTCTGCCTTTGTATATTTGGCAGTGAGGCGTCAAGGTTATGGTTGAATTCAGTGAAGACTCGGACAGTAAGGATTTTCGTGCAGGAAAAACGTAAAGAAAAAAGGAGAGTCCCTCCAAATTAATGGAAGGTATCACCGTGATGACTAACAAAAAATGAGAGAATCCTTGATGGAGGAACGGAAGAAGAGGATGCGAGGTTTCTTGTAGAGAGACGGCCCGAAGCGGCACGCGCCACGGCAAACAACTGCAAAGGCTGCAGTTGTTTGACGTGCCAGCGCGTCTCTTCTCTCGCCGCGTACCGCAAAGACGCGACGAGCAGGCTGCTTCGGGCCCCGCCTCAGCGGTTTTCGCGTTAAAACCACAGAAGCATCCTGCAAGCTTCCATGGCCACTAGACCCCCTCCCAAGAACACCTACAGCAAGGCGAAGGGTAAGGCCAAAGCGAAGACGCCGTCGGACTCTTCCGACTCCTCCGACTCTTCCGGGAGCGAGCCAGCACGACTAGACGGCTGGGCACGAGACCTCGCCGCGATTCGCCGCGACCTAGGTCAACCAAGCGCAGCTGATCCAGAGGAGCAAGCAGGAGGAGTGGAGCCCGAGGAAGAGGAAGAAGACGACCTCCTGGAAGGCGGGGAAGACGACGAGCAAGCAATAACCACGCTCCAGCAGAACGCCACGGTACAGGAGCACGCTAGCTCGCCATCGGCAGCGCCAGCACGCCGAGCACGAGGACGAGGAAGGGCGACGCGAGCGGCCTCAATCCCAACAAGAGCGAGATCAGAGCGCATCGCAGACGCTTTACGTCCGCGAGAACCAGCGGCGCCCCCAGTGACAGCGCCGTCGCGCTCAAGATCCCCGGACAAAACGTCGCGAGTGCGTCAGCGCCAGCCGACTACCCCCTCCGGTCCAGCAAAGCCAGCTGCAAAGAGAGGTAGGAGGTCATCCGCCGGTGCGACCCCGGGGAGACCGAGGCAGCAGCAGCAGCCAACCGGCATCAACCCGATCGACGTAGACGCAGCGATGGACGCGGCGGGAACAACAAGCCAGACCGCGACCGCAGCAGCGCCGTTGCCGAAGACACCGAGCATACTACAGAGGCCGCGCAGAGTGTCATTCAACATTGATCCCACGGAACAGTCCTCACCATATAACCAACACTTTCCGCAAATTCCCCCGTCTCCAGAAACTCGCACAGGCTACGCGCCGCGCGCGCCAGCGGGAGCCGTACCGCGGGACTTCGCAAATTACGATCCGACGACCGCGAGGTTCTCTCTAACGCACGACGAGCTCCAAGCGATGCTGATGGAGGCAGCTCAATCAGCAGCGGCAAACAAGATGGCGGAACTGTCGCAGAACGCGAGCGGCAGCTCTAGAGGTAAGCAACCCTTTTCCTTTAAGCCAGGCGGGCGCGAATGCAGCCAGCGGCCATGAAACATGACACCAGCTGCAGGCCATAGCGCCAGGCCACAGCGCCGCCCCATAGCACGCAGGCCGCAGCGCCAGGCCACAGAGCCACCTCCATAGCATGCAGGCCGCAGCGCCAGGCCACAGCGCCGCAAAACTAGCATGCAGGCCGTAGCGCCGGGCCTCAGAGCCATCTAGCACGCGGCTGTAGCACACAGAAGCAGCACGCTAACCAATTTACAGGCATGAGCATGGCGTCGATAGTGAAGATGCCGGGCACACCCACCGCGAAGCAAACGCGGGCACCGAGGCTGGACGCGCACCTCCAGCTCGACCCGAGTGAGCTGATCATCCCAGCTCACGTCGTCAAAATCCTAAACGACGGGTGGAACAAGTCATTCCCGCTCTCCGACCTCAAGCCCGAGAACTGCTACGTCGTAGACAAAGCACGGGCCAACCGCGAGCGCACACGCATCGTCTTCGACGACGGACAGCTGTACACGATGGAGCCGGAGCGCAACATGGCGGCCGACAGCAGCATGAACACGACGGATTTCATCACCGCAGGCCGGCGGTTTGCAAAAGCCGCGCTCAAGTACTACGAGCCAAAGCGAGACGCGCCCAAGCTATCAGCCCAACTCACGGAGCATTTCGAGCGCATCGCAACGCGCCCAGACTTCCAGCAAAACTTCCACCGCTACCGCCGATACTCCGCGGAACTCTTCGAGAGATGGATCGCGGACCCGACCTGGTGCATAGGAGATTGGCAAAGCGCAATATTCCAGCAAATCTGCGAAGACGACCGCGACAAGCGCATAGACAGAGGCCGCGGCACGTACGTCAACGAAGGAGGGAAGCAGTCCTTTCGGGACGACGCGGTCGGAGGGAAGCAAATATTTCGAGACGATGCAGCGTCGGGCTCCCGCACCGGAGGCGGACAGAAACCCCGCGAGAACGGCGACCGCCGCGGGCAAAAGCGGGATGGCAACAGCAAAAACAGATGCATCTATTGCGGCGCCCGTGAAGGCCACACGTCCTGGCGATGCGAAGAAAGAACCGGCCGCTGGTGCGTCCGCACCCCAGGCTCCAACAAGTGGCGCCCCCCGATTGCAGACCTCCAAGTCTGCTGGAATTGGAACCACACGAAAGGCTGCGACAACGCGGAATGCAAGTTCACCCACGCGTGCACCCTCTGCGGCTCCGGCGCCGCTCCCAACACCGTTGCAGCGCACAATGCGCAGCGGTGCAACACCGTCGCATGAGATGTTTCCCATCGTCACGCCCCTCAAAGCGGACCGGTGGGAACATTGGATCGCGAAGATGGGGCGGGCGGAGGAGTACGCGGATGTTCCGAGAGGCATCCGCAATGGTTTCAATCACGGCTTAGATCCACAGCGCAGACTAGACAAGACGTTCATCCCTCCCAATCTTACTTCAGCCTTCGAGCACTCCGAAATAATTGACGCATACATTTTGAAAGAACAAGAGCTTGGACGCATATCCCCAGGCTACGACCCCAAACTTCTTGAAGCCGAAATAGGCCCATTCCGCTGCTCGCCGGTAGGATGCATCCAACGCGACCCACCTCACGGAAAGTGGAGGATGTTTAACCACCATTCATACCCGCGGAAGTACGTTCATAACGCGCGCTCGGCAGCCAGCAGCTAACCCCGAGCAGTGACCCAGACATCACGTCGATCAACGGCCAAATCGACAAAGACGAATTTCCTTGTGACTGGGGCACATTCGCCCAATGCTACCTAATAATCGCGCGTGCGCCCGAAGGGGCAGAGGTACGCTAACATGTGAATAGCGCACGCAATTACTTAAAACAAATAGGCGACCGTCTTCGACGTGAAAAGCGCGTTCCGCAATGTTCCCACTGCACCAGAAGACCGGCCGCAACTAATGATCTCATGGAAAGGCGAAGTACTATTCGACAACGCCTTCTCCTTCGGCGCGTCAAGTTCCCCAGGAATATTCGGGCGCCTAGCCGACCTCCTCGTCCACCTCCTCAAACACCTATCGATCGAAGAAATCCTAAAATGGGTGGACGACTTCGTCTTTTTCCGCTACCCCAATGGACGGCGCGGAGGCAAGTTCATCTACAAATATGATGAAAGCATCTTCTTCGAAATCGCGGACGACCTCGGCTGGCCATGGGAGATAAACAAACATACACCATTCAGCCCGCGCTTCACCTATCTAGGCCTCGACTGGGACATCGAGGCAAAAACAGTCACGCTACCGAACAAGAAGAAGGAAAAGTACCTCAGAAAGCTCGAGAGCTGGATCAGTGGCGCCCGCGTCTCGAAAAAGGAAACCGAGAACGTGGTCGGCACCCTCAACCACTGCGCCTTCATCATCATACAAGGCAGATCGCGCCTCGTCTCCCTATACAAGTTAACGGCATCCTTCAACAAAGCCGCCAACACTTTCGTCAGATACGCCATCTCACAAAACGTAGCGGCCGATATAGAATGGTGGCGCAAAGAGCTAACCGCGGAGAAGGTCTTTCGCAAGGTCCGCGAGCCGCCGCCGATGCACGCCGACGAGATCTTCGTAGACGCGTCAACGAGCTGGGGAGTAGGCTTTGTTTTCCAAGGGAAATGGCTAGCTTGGCGGTACCGAGAAGGCTGGCGAGCAGATGGGCGAAACATAGGCTGGGGGGAGATGGTAGCAATCGAGCTAGCCATCCGGACGCTCGTCTCGGCAGGCTATCGCAACGCGCACTTCGCATTGAGGTCAGACAACCAAGGAGTGATAGGCGCGCTGGCAGCAGGGCGCTCGTACGGGACGCAAGAGAACGCAATCCTCCAACGGATCATCCGCCTATACGAAGAATACGATATATGGCTCACGATATCGTACGTCCCGACGGAGGAAAATATTTCAGACGGACCTTCGCGCGGCAAATTTCCGCCAACCAATAAGCTCTACCCTTTCCCGCCGAAGATCCCCGGGCACTTGAAGCCATTCATTAAACACTCATCCGAGCGTAATAGAGAATAGTAGCACATTGTAAGCGCTGAGGCGCAAAATAAAACAGAAAACATCTTGTCCAAAACGGGAAATCAAATGACATAAGCAGCTGGACTCTCCTTATTCCACCATGTCGGCAGCGGCTCGCACCATCGCGGACGACGTCTTGCGCAGGATTCGGCGCCGCGGACTCGGCTCGTTCGGCGCTGCCAACGCGCAATCTCGCTCCAAACAGAAGAAGGCAGCATCGAGGATGTCGGCGGAAGCGCGCAACAAAGTGGAATACGCCATTCAGCACGCCTGGGCAGACTCGACGCTCAAGAAATATGGTCAGAGCCTAGAGGCCTTCCACCACTTCTGCAACACAGAAGGTGTATCGATGGAACAGCGACTACCGGCAAACGAATTTTGCTATGCGCATTCGCGGCGTCTCGAGTCGGCGAAATTGCAGGTAGCACGGCGCGCGGAGCAATGGCGGCGGTAAAAGCTTGGCACGTCATCAACGACGCGGAATGGCAAGGAGGCATAAGGCTACGCTACACGCTACGAGGCGTAGAAAACCTCGCGCCGGCGAAGTCGAAGAAAGACGCAAGACCACCGATCACACGCGAAATGCTCGACGTACTCGACGCGGAGCTCGACCACAAGGACCCGAAGGATGCGGCAGTCTTCGCTACAGCCTGCTGCGCTTTCTGGGGTCAGCTACGCCTAGGAGAGATCCTATCCGAGACAGAAGGAGCGTTCAAACGCAGTCGCATACCTACGGCGTCCGACTTGAAACCGCCAACGACACCACGCGGCACGCGGGTCTTGCACCTTCCGTGGACCAAGACGAAGAAGTCAAACGGGGATGACGCGATCTTATGCCGCCAGCAAGGACCATCGGACCCGATACGTGCAGTCGAAGAACACCTAAAGGTCAACGATATCCCCCCAGACCTTCCGCTATTCGCACACCGCAACGCCGCAGGCACCTCATATGCTTGACGCGCAAAAAGATGCTACGACGCTGCAACGAAATATGGGGAAGACACGGGTACCCGGCGTACACCGGTCACAGTTTCCGCATCGGCGGCACAACGGAGCTACTTATCAAAGGGGTAAACCCCGACGTGGTGCAGGCGATGGGCAGGTGGAAATCAGAAGCTTTCAAGGTCTACTGGCGCCGCCTAGACATGCTAGCGCCGCTACACGCAGAATACATAGATGTGTAAATTCCATAGTAATGTACAATTTCGAGCTGTCCGCTTCGTTGTGTGGGTCGTCGTCAGCCCCCCTTCGCGTGCGGCTGGGACACGCTTCCAGCTCACTTCTGGGTTGTCCCCAGCCGCACGCGCCCATTTGAGCCAGCCGAAGCAGCCGAGAAGCCGCTCCGACTAGCTCACCCCCACACACGGGCAGATCTTCGCGGCGGATAAACAGCCGCGAAGATCGCACCTCCACTCACAGGATCTCGTCAGCAAGAATGGATCAATCTGGAGCATTCGGGTGCGGGGAGTCGAACCCCGGTCTTCAACGTGCAGTCTAATCGAGTTCTTATTACTGGCAGCTGACGTGCACCGTGTACCACACCCGAATTATATCTCTAGAACCTACATACGCTGTATGCGTTGGAGAAATTTGAACAAGGATTCCTCGAATAAAAAGGATTGCTCAACACCAAAGTTCGGGTGCGGGGAGTCGAACCCCGATGTTTTTGCAGCCGAAAATCATGATGATAGCTCGTTGTCAAGGAACACTGCTGTGCACCGTGCACCACACCCGAGTTGAATGCTCAAAACGGACTCTGCATACATTAGATATTTTCCAGTGCAACTCTGCATAATTTGACCATGGAGAAAGTCAAGGCATCAGGCCCTGGTTGGATTCAGGTTTGAATGTAGTGGTATATATAGTGATTTTCATTCAGGCAGGAAAGGAAGGAAGCAAAGTCAAGTCCCTCCAGCTCAACGTAAGGTAACAGAAAAAACCTGAGAAAGAAAAAAAAAGCCGAAGAATTTATGGACAATTCGGTTGCGGGGAGTCGAACCCCGATTTTTTGCAGCCGAAAATCATGATGATGGCTCGTTGTCAAGGAACACTGCTGTGCCCCGCGCACCACACCCGAGTTGAATGCTCAAAAGAGACCATGCATACATTAGATACTTCCCAGTATATATCTGAAACCAACTCTGTATACTTTGACTATGGAGAAAGTCGAGGCGTCGGCGTGTGGTTGAATTCAATGAACAAACTATTGATATATACATACGTCCAGGAAGAGGACGAAGAAGGAAGTACCTCCAATATTTATTGGACGGAAAGGATCCCAAATCTTATTGAAAAAAATTCAGCCGTCAGTGGATGATTCGGGTGCGGGGAGTCGAACCCCGATTTTTTTTGCAGCCGAAAATCATGATGGTTGCTTGTTTCCAAGGAACACTGCTGTGCACCGTGCACCACACCCGAGTTGAATGCTCAAAAGAGACCATGCATACATTAGATACTTCCCAATACCTGAAACCGACTCTGTATACTTTGGCCATGGAGAAAGTCGAGGCGTCGGCGTGTGGTTGAATTCAATGAACAAACTATTGATATATACATACGTCCAGGAAGAGGGCGAAGAAGGAAGCGAAGTAGAGTACCTCCAATATTTTTATTGGACGGAAAGGATCCCAAATCTTTTTGAAAAAAAATTCAGCCGTCAGTGGATGATTTGGGTGCGGGGAGTCGAACCCCAATTTCTTAGCAGCCAAGATCCCGGCGCACATACGAGGGACGCTGCCGTGTACCGTGCACCACACCCGAGTTAAATGCTCAACAGAGACTCTGCATACATTCACTTCCCAGCACATTCCTGAAACCGACCCTACATAATTTAGCCATGAAGGAAGTGGAGGTGTCAGGCTCTGAACGCGGCCTCATACCGATTTCCGTGCAGGCAAAGACAAGGAGATCTTGAAGGCAAAAAGCAGAGTCCTCCCAATTGGATGGAAGGTAACATAAACCTTTTTGAAAAAAAAAATCCAGCTGTGACTGGTTCATTCGGATACGGGGAGACGAACCCCGGTCTGCGGCCTCATGGCGTCACCTGACTAATGAAAGTCGCCGTGCACCCTGCACCACACCCGAATTATCTCTCTATAACCTACATATACTATATGTGTATATCTGACCATTGATCCAGAGCTACCTCAACAGCGCTGCCGTACGCAAGCTAAATTATATTCAAAACCAGTTGCGTATTTCCTCTCACTGGTTCTTACGACGTACTTGAGTGAGAGGTATGTGTATTTGTTAGCTATCCCTATATTACTATCTACTTACCCTAGTGTCATACAGGCTTCCCTGGTTCACAGTATGCGTTGGAAAAATTTGCCAGTGAGGCAGAACGTGTTTCGAATAAAAGTTCATGATCAATTTCGCACAGTTCGAGTGCGGGGAGTTGAATGGTCAACAGAGACTCTCTGCATACATTAGATACTTCCCACTTCCCAGTACCTCAAACCAGCTCTGCATAATTTGGCCATGGAGAAAGTCGAGACGTCAGGCATCGGTTGGATTCAGCCTTGAACACAATATAGATATATATCTATTTCTGTCCAGGAAGGACAAGGAGAATCTGAAGGAAAACGTAGAGTCCTTCCAAATGAACGGAGAGTAACACGGGGAAAAAAATTATCAGCTGAATAGAGGATCCATTGGGGTGCGGGGAGTCGAACCCCGTCCTGCAGCTTATCATGGACTTTAGGAAAATATTCCCCGCTGCCGTGCACCGTGCACACACCCGAATTATCTGTCTAATTGCCACCTATAGACGCTGGAGAAATTTAAAACGCATGCATGGCTCGGACAAAAAAAAACCCGATCTTTTGGATAGATTATTGGATGCGGGGAGTCGAACCCCGGTCTGCGGCTCAGCATCGTTGCCAATCATTGAAAGCCGCCGTGCACCATGCACCACACCCGAATTGTTTCTACATAACCTACATACACTGTATGCGTTGCCAAATTTGCCGGCGAGGCCAAACGTGCTTCGAACAAAAAGTCAGATATGCCAACAGTTCGAGTGCGGGGAGTCGAACCCCGGTCTGACGCGGCAGCAGAAAGTACGCAAAGTTACCAAAGGCCGCTGTGCGCCGTGCACCACACCCGAATTGTTTCTATGTCACCTACATACACTGTATGGGTTGCAAAATTTGCCAGCGAGGCCAAACGTGTTTCGAATAAAAAGCTCTTGACCAACTTCGCAGTTCGAGTGCGGGGAGTCGAACCCCGGTCTGCGGCCTCAAAGTGTCGCCCGAATTATTGAAAGCTGCCGTGCACCCTGCACCACACCCGAGTTGTTTCTCTATAACCTACATATGCTGTATGCATTGGCCAAATTTGCCAGTGAGGCAAAACGTCTTCGTTCGCGGGTCCAGGTCGAGTGCGGGGAGTCGAACCCCGATCTGCGGCTGCCGCAACTGCAGACAATTACCAAAAGCCGCCGTGCATCTTGCACGACACCCGAATTGTTTCTATATAACCTACATATACTGTATGTGTATATCTGACCATTGATTCAGAGCTACGCATAGCGCTGCCGCACGCAAGCTAAATTATATTCAAAACCAGCTACGTATTTCCTCTCACTGGTTCTTACAACCTCCTTGCCAAGCGAGAGGGATGTCTATTTTTTAGCTATCCCTATGATACTATCTACTTAGTCTAGTGTCGTACAGGTCTCCCCGGTTCACAGTATGCGTTGGAAATAATTTGGCCATGGAGAAAGTCGAGGCGTCGGGCACTGGTTGGATTCAGCTGTGATCTGGGTATATATGGTGATTTCCGTCCGTCAAGAAGAACGAGGAGAGTTTGAAGAAAAAAGTAGAGTCCTTCCAATTGAACCGAAGCTTAAAGTGACACGAAAAAAAACAAAATTTTGACAGAGTCGAGCCCCGGTCTGCGGCCCAATTGCACAAGTCAGCTTTATTGAAAGCCGTCGTGCACCGTGCGCCACACCCGAATTTTATCCATCTACTATAGACATCATAGATATGGTCGGAGGAAATTCGTCTACGACCATAGCTCGAATGAAAAATCGGAGATATATCGATGGATAATTCGGGTGCGGGGAGTCGACTCCGGTCTGCGGCTCTTCCGGTTGAGGGAGCTACTTTTGGCTTCCGTGCGATGCACCACACCCGAGTTAAACTTGATGTGCTGAACCCTACTCTGCCTTTGTATATTTGGCAGTGAGGCGTCAAGGTTATGGTTGAATTCAGTGAAGACTCGGACAGTAAGGATTTTCGTGCAGGAAAAACGTAAAGAAAAAAGGAGAGTCCCTCCAAATTAATTGAAGGTACCGCCGTGATGACTAACAAAAAATGGATCAACCTGGAGCATTCGGGTGCGGGGAGTCGAACCCCGGTCTTCAACGTGAAGTCTAATCGAGTTCTTATTACTGGCAGCTGACGTGCACCATGCACCACACCCGAATCGTTTCTATATAGCCTACATACGCTGTATGCGTCGCAGAAATTCAAACGGTGAACTGCCTTCGAATAAAAAGGTTGTATAGTCGAGGGGAATGAAAGTTCGGACGCGGGGAGTCGAACCCCGATGTTTTTTGCAGCCGAAAATCATGATGATAGTTCGTTGTCAAGGAACACTGCTGTGCACCGTGCACCACACCCGAGTTGAATGCTCAAAACGGACTCTGCATACATTAGATACTTCCCAGTGCCTATCTGAAACCAACTCTGCATAATCTGGCCACAGAGATAGTTGAGGTCGGATTCAGCCTTGAACACGATACATACCCACGTTATTTCCGTACAGGAAGAAGAAGGAGTCCGAGAACAAGGAGAAAAGTAGAGTTAAACGGAAGTTTACACCAAAAAAAAAAGTTGCCAAATTTATCGATAATCGGGCGCAGGGAGTCGAACCCCGATCTGCGGCTAGAGAGGCACCCATCACTGAAAGCCGCAGTGCACCATGCACTACACCCGAGTTGAATGCTCAGCAGAAAGTCTGCATAAATTAGACACTTCCCAGTACATATCTGAAACTGACTCTGCATAATTTGACCATGGAGAAGGTCAAGGCATCAGGCCCTGGTTGGATTGAGGTTTGAATGTGGTACATATAGTGATTTCCGTGGAGGAAGACCAAGGAGATGAAGGAAGAAAATGAGAACAGAAGATAACACAATTTTTTTCCAACAAAAAAAAGCCAACACCTAATGGATGATTCGGGTGCGGGGAGTCGAACCCCGAATTTTTTTGCAGCCGAAAATCATGATGATTGCTCCCTTCCAAGGAACACTGCCGTGCGCCGTGCACCACACCCGAGTGGAATGCTCAAACGAGACCTTGCATACATTAGATATTTTCCAGTACAACTCTGCATAATTTGACCACGGAGAAAGTCGAGGCGTCAGGCCCTGGTTGGATTCAGGTTTGAATGTGGTGGTGATTTTCGTTCAAGCAGGAGGGGAAGGAAGCAAAGTCGAGTCCCGCCAATTGAACGGAAGGTAAAAGAAAAAGCATGAGAAAGAAAGAAAAGTCGAAGCAATTATGGACAATTCGGTCGCGGGGAGTCGAACCCCGGTCTCCAGCGTGAACTCTAATAGAAACTTTTATACTAGCAGCTGATGTGCACCATACACCACACCCGAGTTGAATGCTCAAAAGAGACCCTGCATACATTAGATACTTCCCAGTACCTGAAACCGACTCTGTATACTTTGACCATGGAGAAAGTCGAGGCGTCGGCGTGTGGTTGAATTCGATGAACAAACTATTGATATATACATACGTCCAGGAAGAGGGCGAAGAAGGAAGCGAAGTAGAGTACCTCCAATATTCTATTGGACGTAAAGGATCCCAAATCTTTTTGAAAAAAATTCAGCCGTCAGTGGATGATTCGGGTGCGGGGAGTCCAACCCCGATTTCTTAGAACCTATATGGGTTGACACAATTTAAAGTGCATGCATGACTCGGGGAAAAAAAGAAATGTCACACAATAAGGATTCGGATGCGGGGGTCGAACCCCGGTCTGCGGCCTCAAAATGTCGCCCGAATTATTGAAAGCTGCCGTGCACCCTGCACCACACCCGAGTTGTTTCTCTATAACCTACATATACTGTATGCATTGGCCAAATTTGCAGTGAGGCAAAACGTCTTCGCTCACGAGTCTAGGTCGAGTGCGGGAGTCGAACCCCGATCTGCGGCTGCAATCACTGCGGAAATTTACCGAAAGCCGCCGTGCACCTTGCACCACACCCGAATTGTTTCTATACAACCTACATATACTATATGTGTTAATAACTGAGCATTGATTCAGAGCTACCTCAACAGCGCCGCGGCCGTACGCAGGCTATATTATATTCAAAACCAATTTCCTCTCACTGGTTCTTACGACGTATTTCAAGTTGAGTGAGAGGTATGTCTATATGTTCCTACAATACTATCTACTTAGCCTAGTGTCGTACAGGCTTCCCTGGTTCACAGTATGCGTTGGAAAAATTTGCCGGCGAGGCCAAACGTGCTTCGAACAAAAAATACGACAGTTTCGCATACAGTTCGAGTGCGGGGAGTCGAACCCCGGTCTGCGGCCTCAAAGCGTCACCTGAACTATTGAAAGTCGCCGTGCACCATGCACCACACTCGAGTTGAAGAACTCCAAACGACCCTGCATACACGTCATCGGGCCTACGGTTGCCAACAAGTCCCAGCTTTGATTAAAAGTTGGAAAAACCTTAAGTCCGCAAAATCTGCAAACCGAGTCTGAGTTCCGCGGAAAATTTAGAGTCTGTAAATTTTGCAAATACAACTGGTGTATTTGCCCAAAATTGCGAGTCCGAGCCGCGTGAAGAATTTAGAGTCCGAAAACGCAAATACGACTGTTGTATTTGCCTCGGTATTGCAAAATCGCGAACTTGAATTCCCCAAAAAAAAATTGTCGAACCCGAAAACACGAAAAAAAAATGAAGTCTGCTTTTTTGCATCCAGAGCGGGTGTATATGCATGTATTATGTATTGGCACACAAAGCGGACTCCTTTTTTTTTGGAGTTTCTCAACTCACGATTTTTGCGGTCGGGGTTCGTATTTTGTGGACTCTAAATTTTTCGACTCAAATTTTTTTCACGCGTCGCATTTTTTCCGCAAATACGACTGCCGTATTTGCCAAATTTTGCGGACTCTAAATTTTTCGACTCTCAATTCTTTCGCGCGTCGCATTTTTTCCTGCAAATACGACTGCCGTATTTGCAAAATCCCGGACTTGGAAAAAAATTGGAAAAATTGTCGAACCTGAAAACACGAAAAAAAAATGAAGTCCGCGATTTTGTCCTTTTGCATTAGCATAAGTACACGCCGATTCAACATCAACATTTACACCTGTTATTTCTGCACGTCACCGGACCGGGTGGTCGTGGCGACCTCGCGTCCTGAACATTTACAACTGTTATTTCTGCACGTCACCGGACCGGGTTTCCGTGTGTGGTCGTGGCGACCTCGCGTCTTGCACGGTGCAGTTGAGCTGGTGCATGTCCCAGCCTAAACTCGCGCCATCTCCCCGTACGCTCTTCTTGAATCTCTCTTCTCTCCTCCAGCGCTAATAGCCATCTTTACATCCAGATTCCTCGCTTTGACACCTGCCATTAAATAATTTCTAGGACCTTATGCCGGTCCTGCTCCCGTTCCTCCCCCCGGGCCTCTCTCCCTCAAACGACTTTGCCATGCTGCCCCTCCTCCCCTGGCTGCTCGCTCTTCTTGCTCTCTTCGCCGCCGTCGCCCGCCCCACGTCCCTGCTCGCCTCACGCTCCTGGTCCGTGCCCTCGCTCTCTCTGCCCAAGCCCATCGCAGACTTCATCCACCGCCTCCGCCGTCCGTCGTCCTCTGTCCTGCCCACCACCTCCCCCGCTTCCTCCTCCTTCGCCACCAACGCAAACGGACGCAGCACCGCCAACCCCCCACCAACCCCCCTCCGCGGGCGCGGTCGCGCGCGCTCCAAGCCCGGCGGGCTCGGTCTAGGCAGGTTCGGCATCGGCCTGGGCCTGGGTCTGGGACGCAGGGCAAAGTCCCTCGGGCCCGTCCTCCCGCGCTTTCACCCCGCCTCTTCCTCTTCTTCCTCGTCCTCACAACGTGCGTCCTCCTCGCGGCTGCCTCCGGGACCAGGAACAACGGAACGCGCCTCCGCGCCCGCCTCCCCCGGCTTCACCCCGCTCCTCTACGACGACGATAGCGACGCCGTCCCGCTCGTCGATCTCACCCACAGCTGGGGCAGCGTCTCCGAGTTCTCCGACGCCTCGGCTGCGGCTTCGAGGCGTGCATCCACGTCTGCGATTTCTAAATCCCCTCACGAGGTGCTGGTCGACCTGCACGACGCGCACGAAACGGAATACGAGCTCGTAGACGTGTCCGTCCCTCCCTCCCCCGCTGCGTGGGCCCTTGCGCACCCGCATACTACGCTGCAGCCGACGCCGGTGGGGACCGCGCCGACGTCGCCTGCTGTTGCCTCTTTCCCGATGACTTCGTTCTCCTCCTCTTCCTCCACGTCTACCTCTGCATCGACTTCGACTTCGATCCCCACACCCACACCCGCACCTGCACCCTACAAACTACTGAAGCTATGAATGGCGCTATCGCCCTCCCTCTTGCCGCAACGGGGGAGGTCGACGCGCGGGAAGTTGGAGTGAAAGGAGAGGACGAACCAGAGAAAGAGGGAAGAGAAAGAGAACCGCACCAACTCCCCTCCCCGCCGCTCTCCCCGCCCCTTCCGACCGCCCGCCCTCGGTCGTGGAGCGCGGGGCGGACGCCGGTGGCGGCGTTCCCTACTTTGGGTGGGGAGGGGGAGTGGGAGGAGGTGGAGGGGGAGGTAGAAGAGCGGGGGGTACGGGAGGCGGAGGAGGACGACGCGCTTGCGCATCTATCTGCACCCTCGGAGGCGCACCCGCTGCACGTCGATCTTCCCCCCGCTCCCTCCTTTTCACCCGCCGCTGTCCAGTTAGAGTCAGAGGAAGAACCGGAGCTCCCAAGCGCACACGCCATCGACACGCTCCTCTCCGCCATGCACTCTTCTTTGCCACCACCCGCATCGGCGCCGGCGCCCGCGTACGATGCGCTCCCGCCTGCTCTTGGACTCGACGCGGCTTCGCCATCTGATTCCGAGTTGCTCGCGTCTGAGAACGTCGATGCGCATCGCGGGGTACAGGAAGAGGAGGGTGTGGAGGAGGAAGATGAGGAGGCCGTAAACGAGGATGACATGCAGGAGATACCGGATGAGGAGGAGGCCCTCCCCAGCGCACGCGCCATCGACGTGTTGGTGGGTGGGATGCGGGTGCGGGGGTTGTCTTATCCTTCTGCGCCGCCTTCCTTTGCTTCTGCGCCTCCTGGATTCGAGTCTACGATGGGAGCTGTGTCCGAGTCGGAGTCGACGATCCCCGCCCAGACGGAGGAGGCGGACGCCACACCGGCGCCCGCGTACACCTCTGCCCCACCTACGCCCACACCCGCTACGCCTCCGCGCGCGTCTGGGTACGAGTTGACGACGGCGCGGTTGTTCCCTACCACCACCTCTTCCCCCTCCCCTTCCCCTTCCCCTCTCAACGCGGACGGCGAACGCGATGAGGACCAGGAAGAAGACGACAACGACACAGAAAGCGAGCACGCCTGGTCCGGTCCCGTCCCCCCGCTCGATGCGTTTGAGGCGCTCGAGTTCGAGCCGCTCGTGCAGGACCGCGGGGCGTTCGAGGGGGTTCGTGGGTACGAAGGAGAAGGAGAAGGAGGAGAAGGAGAGGCAGGAGAAGGAGAGGTAGGGGAAGAGGAGCAGGACCCAGGCGAGTTGGCGCTGCCTCTGCTCCCACTGCCCGCGTCGTCGGCGCGGTCGTCCTCGCTTCCCGCTCCACTTCCGTCTTTCGGCTGGGAGCAGGGTTTAGAAGGGGGGTGGGTGCGGGAAGTAGACGACCCAGCCGAGCTGGAGCTGCCTTCTATGCCCCTCCCCTTGTGGGACACGCCAGCACCCGCCCTATGGGACACGCACGCCTTGTGGGACACGACACCCCGCCGGCGGATGACGGCGATGTGGAGGAGTTGCTGTTGGACTTTGTTCCTGGCGTGCCTACATCGTCTTCCACATCTGCCTCAGCTTGTTTACAGCTGCCGACGTTCATGCGCTTGTCGATATAAGTGGGGAGGACGCAGAGCAAGGAAAGGAGATGGGGAAGACGCAGAAGAGGCACGAGCGAAGCCGGGTACGAAGACGACGTCGAGGATGTCTTGGACGCGTCCTCTGCGTCTCCAGATCTCCCAGATTCCCGCATCTCCCGTGTCGCCCGTGTCCTCCTTCCTCCCTTCTCTCCCGTCGCGGAGGTATATCCATGGGAAGTGGAGGCGGCAGTGGAGGCAGAAGTGGAAGTGGAAGCAGACCCACCCACCCCACCCCACCCCCACCCCCACCCCCGGCTGCACGTCGACACCGACGCCGCGCACCTCTCGCCGCCGCCTGTGTGGTGTTTGAGGACTCGCCGCCGCCTGCGCACGGGCGCGAACAGGATCTGGCGTCCGCCTCCGCCTCTCCACCACGCCCTCGGTGTCGGCCGCAGAGGAGGCGGCCGCCACACGTCCTCCTCCCCTCCGCACCTGCTTCCGTGCTGCGTGCCCGCTCTCCCTCCGACCTCGACTCCTTACTCACCCAGGACGAAGAGCACGCAGACGCAGCGGACGCAGAGCAGGAGGAAGTGGACCTCACAGACCTCCACCGCAAGCCCGCCTGGCAGCGCCGCGCCGCCGCCGCGCCCGCGCTGGGTCTGCCGTCGTCTACTCTCACTCTGGTGCGCGAAAGGGAGGAGCGGGTGCCGGGGGCGTTCCCCGCTACGGCGACGGCGGCTTCGTTTCCCTCCATCTCTTCTCCTTCTGGCTCTGCCTCTACGTCTACCTCTACCCCCGCTGCGTCTACCTCCTCTGCGTCTGGCAAAGACAAGCCAGGGAAGGCGACCTCCACCTCCTCCATCGAGCTCTCCACGCCCCTCCGCGCGCGGCACCGCTCCCCGCTCGACGCCGCGCTCGCGATGCAGCTGCGCCCGGGGCTGGGCGTGGGCGCGGACGGGGCGTGGTTGGTGCGGTTCTTGATGAGCTTTTTTGGGTGGTTTGCGGTGCTTGTTGCGCGGACGGGGGATTGATTTGTCTTGTGGCGCACAAGTGCGTTCCGCCGAGCCCAACGAGTGCGCCCCGCTTTTTTCTTTTGTGATTCGTTTCGGTTCTGCTATCCATCTATCTCGTCTCATATCGCACGTCTTTCTTATTCATCCTCATCTCTATCGCACTGCATCCACTTCCCGCATCCGTACATATTCATAATTCGCTTTCGTCTCATACATCCTCATTTCATATCACACATACCGCACACTGCACATTCTCACATTCTCGCAATCTCGCACATACCTCACATCCGCATTTCCTACACACATACACACATTCTCACACACATACTCGCATACCACCCGGAATTCACGACCCGTACGACCATTCGGAATTTATGACCACGAAAAGACACGATACGACCACGTACATAGTGTACCATACGTAGTAACTTAATTAGCTATAGGCTATCGACTAGGGTAATTTAATGCGATTTGGATGTTTTCCGCGTCGCTTTTGAAATCTTCTCTCGGGAAAGGCGAACCACGCTTGTCGACTCTTGATTTCACCTGGTACGAAGGGGTTATACACAACTCGGGTGTGGTGCATGGTGCACGGCAGTGTCGAATGATACGGAAGGCCATTTGAATTGCCTATGCTGCTGGACGGGGTTCGACTCCCCGAGCCCGAATCGCAACGAAAGAGAATTTTTATTGGGAACTCTGAACTCTGAACTGAACTCTGAACTGGGGGATACTGGACTAGATCCTCGAACTCATAAAGCATTTTGGCTCATGGTACGACGGGGTAAATTTTCGATATCCATGTCGAATCAACTACATTGGCTACGTACGTTCTTGATAAAATTCCGGGACGGTGCCTACCCAGCTAACGCTAATCCTAATACTTGGTCTGGTCAGAAGGTAGAGCAATAAATCAATCGGGTGTGGTGCACGGTGCACGGCGGTTGTTAATAATAAACCTGCTTAGGTGCATATGCCGCAGGACGGGGTTCGACTCCCCGCACCCGAATGGGCAATGTGGGACGAAAAAATTTCCCGGTTTTATTGGGAACTCTGAACTGGAGGCGAAATACATTTCCGGCACGACAAACGAAGAAAAGTAATAATGTACTCTGGTCTAAACTTGAAGGAACCCCGACATTGGATATAAGATTGCATGGAAGACTTATTAAGAGAATGCCCGGGAGGTGATGGACTCTTATTTTCAACGTTCGCCTGGGCATCTGTGAATTGAAGATGGACGGCAGTGACCGTAAATTGACCAAGAAATATCTCGCCGTGGACATAGATTACACTAACACAAAATTGCCGTGACAAGGGATTCCCCCGAAAAAATGTAGGTGTATGCAGAAAACAAAACATAAGACTTTTCTGACCGTGTTTCAGTGTAGTATTCTGTCCTGCGCAAGGTAGGAGAAAACATTTCAAGTACGAGGCAATGGTGGTGAGTTGCGATCGGGTGTGCGCGAATATGTGTCGGGCAATTCCTGCACAGAGTGTGATGAAGCAGGGCGATGCGAGAGGGGTGGGTCACCCGCGCTGTCGTTTTGGACTGAGGATGGTCGCGGAGTCGAAGGAGGCGAAGAATGAAAGACGGTATCTGGCAATGTATGTAAGGGATGAGATGATCCTGCGGGAGAGAGGGGAATGTCCGGTTGGGAAGAGGAGAATTGCAGAGTTGAAGGAGAAGATAGATAATGGGTTGGCAGGAGGGAAGAGCGAGATACAGCGTCTGGCAATGCCTGCGAAGAATTTGGCGAGGTAGCAGTGGGATGCTCGGGGTCCGCAAGGATGTTATCAGAAGAGGCCCCGCCCAGGGGCAATGGGTCGGCCAATGATCTTCCAAACGAAAACACTGCAAGACACCTCGCTAATGTTACGGGGATGTGTTGGGCGGGAATAGCTTCAAAGCTGTGGAACACCACAGCTTGGCGCAGATCAGTGCAATGCCTGAGGTACGCCAATACCTTATCATGATCAGGTATTATATTTCCAGGGCAGTGGGAGGACTCGAATAGGGCTTGGGCGTCCTCGTTGTCGTCTATTTCGGTGATCGGCCTTACGGCCTGGGCAAAAATTGACAACCACATCCAAATCGGCACCGCGAGATCCTTGAACACAGTGTAATGATCTAGAACAAAAGCAAAGGTCTCGCGTGGCGGGAGAAAGATGACTGGCCGATCCTTTCCCAAGCGGAATTGCGATGTACGGAAACAAGCTGCAACAGCTAATATCATGGCATGATCCGCTGCCCAGATTGGTGTGTGAGGGAGTGTGTGCAGCATAATCCTGATCCAAATGCGCGGGGAAGCGCTGGATACTGTTGAGCGCACGAGCCGACCGAATGAAATCTCGTTAAGATCATCTTGTTCACCAGCGACGACACATGAAGCTGCATTTTCCCACTGCTGTTCGAAAGCAGGGAGAAGTGGTACGACTTCGAGCGGCTCGTCGACCATCCCGAGAGCCTCGATCAGGATTATTTTTGCCGATGGATCTGACGTGGTGGACGCGAGCCAGGACAGTGCAGTATGGATCCACTGTTGATTCTCGCGATAGACGTATCCACGCTCGACCTGTCGTAGGGACTCGTATTTGGGTTGGAGGTTGCCCCTGTAACGCTTCCGCTGAGAAGCCCGTACAAGTATATAGTACAGGCGTCTTGGAATGATGGCGATGGTTCTCCCCGGGCCATACACGAAGGAATGGAGAAGTGCCGTCAAAGGAGTACGGTAGGGACATCCGATGGCCAAGATTGGAAGAACATTCGTCGTCACATATACTAGAAAGAGGAAGCCCGCGACAGAGGCCACAACCTGGGCTATTATATGGTCTAAGGCATGTAGAAAGACCACGAGACCGACCATGAACAGGAAGAGGGACAAATGCAAAATGGTTGGGAGGAGGCCAATTATGGACTGCACACCCCATTTGTCGAAGCCGGCAAAGCGAAATTGACGAATCAAGGCACGCTCACGAGCGGAGCCGGCGATGAAAGAGGAATATTGGCGCAGCCACTGCTTCGCGAGCACGGCAAGGAGGGCGGTGGTGAGGCTGAGCGCCAGGCTCGTGAACCATAAAGCGTTCGCCCAGATATCGGTACGGGCCGCAGTGAACGATGTGTCGGCGGAGGGGATGGAGTTGAACGGAGTACCACTGGCCTGGGCGCGCTGAAGAGCGACAAGCTCTAGGAGGATGGAATTCGATATAGCTGTGTTGTCCGGTGAAAGGGCCTGTGATGTCTGTGCCACGAAAGTGGTAAGAACACCAGAGAAAAGACCTGCCTACCCAGCATGTCAGTGTCAGGTCAAGAAAATGACAAGGCAACATACAAAAACCAGAAGAATATCTAAACTGTCGCCGGACTCCATCATCATATCGCTGTCGAAAATCGCACTTTCGTCGTTGTAGACGTGCCACACGCGGGCTTCGGGGTCTAGTTCTTTATAGGGCAGGTCTTCAGCGTACTTCCGCCTGTAGTCCGTTGGCGCTGAATATCACGGAATGAGGCGAGAATGTCTGAGATGCGTCGCTGACAACTCACGTCCTTGAGAACCTGGGTCGTTCCTGTTCAGACCGAATTGTGTGCGGGGAAGGGGATTGCGACCGCCGGCTGCTGGGCGACTACCGATCCCTTCATCTCCCGAGTTCGGGACTGTTTGTGCAACTGGCTCACGCTCAGCCGATGGCGGAAAAGGTATATTCTGGGTGGGCACAGGTTGCGACGGCACGGAATGGGGTGCACCTGGAGGAGCATATGGCTGGGGCATGGGATTATTTTCGGTCTCTTCTTCGTTGACCCCGGTGGCACCCAGGGACCAGGTCCCAGGGGCATCGCGTTTTTGACAGTTTACTTTTTTGGTCTTGTCCGGTCTTGTACGTTATCGTACAAGGCAAAAAGACCTCTCCACCGCAAACCCGCCTGGCAGCGCCGCGCCGCCGCCGCGCCCGCGCTGGGTCTGCCGTCATCTACTCTCACTCTGGTGCGCGAAAAGGAGGAGCGGGTACCGGGGGCGTTCCCCGCCACCGCTACGCGCTCGCGATGCAGCTGCGCCCGGGGCTGGGCGTGGGCGCGTACGGGGCGTGGTTGGTGCGGTTTTTGATGAGCTTTTTTGGGTGGTTTGCGGTGCTTGTTGCGCGGACGGGGGATTGATTTGTCTTTCCTACTTCGTCTTTCCTGCCGTCGCGCTCCGCGAGTCCACGGACGGGGAAGGGCGAGCCCGACGAGGAGAGGAGGGAGGGCGGGGAACGGAGTAGGGGGAGGGAGAGTGAGTCCCTTTCGTGATTGTGTTTCGTTTCATTTCTACTATGCATCTATCTCATATCGCACGTCTTTCTTATTCATCCTCATCTCTATCGCACTGCATCCACTTCCCGCATCGGTACATATTCATATTCGCTTTCGTCTCATCTCATTTCATACATACATACCGCACACCGCACATTCTCATACCTCATCCTTCATACCTCATACCACACCGCACGTTTTCTTACACTCTCGTACATCCACGCATTATCACATTTACACGCACTCACATACCACCCCGAATTCACGACCAGAGACGATACGACCGCCACGACCACGAAAAGACACGATACGACCACGTACATACGTAGTAACTTAATTAGCTATAGGCTATCGATTAGGGTAATTTAATGCGTTGGATGTTTTACTCGACATCGCTTGAGAAAGTCGACTCGCGATTTCACCTGGTATGAAGAGCCCAAGTTATTCATACACCACTCGGGCGTGGTGCACGGCGCACGGCGGTTCCAAATGATTTCATAGAAGCTAGATATCCACATGCTGCAGATCGGGGTTCGGCTCCCCGCGCCCGAATGATAACGTACGAGAATTTTTATTGGGAACTCTGAACTGGGGGATACTGGACTAGATTCTAGGACTATTTTGGTTGGCCGCTGCACTTTGGGTAAAATATCGATATCCGTTCCGATTCAAGCACAACGTTTACGTGCTCAGACTTGAGAGATATGTTAGCGCTTACTCCGGTCAGCAGGCAGAGCAATAATCGGGTGTGGTGCATGGTGCACGGCTGTTTTAATTAGGTTAAATATGAAGCTACAAGCTGCAGACTGGGGTTCGACTCCCCGCACCCGAACTTCTAGTCCGTTGAGCTTTTTTCCCTCATTTGATGTGCTATTCCCTGGAATTTCGAATTCTGTTTACGAGCCGACTCCTAAAGGACACTGGATTCTAGTGCTCGCAGCATTTTGGCCTCCTATTCATATGGATTCAACCACAGCCTTTACGTGCTTGATAAAAATATTCAGCGATGGTGTGTGCTTGGTCCAGCTAACGATAACACTTAAGTACTTAGAGTAGTTAGAGAAACAAGTCGGGTGTGGTGCACGGTGCACGGCAGTTTTAATTCAGAGGATTCTGTCGAGCTATAAGCTGCAGGATGGGGTTCGACTCCCCGCGCCCGAATTCTTGCACTTGGATTGTTTTCCCCCCAGTTTTGTTGGGAATTATGAACTGGAGAATAGTGGATTCTACGTAGTACTCACAAAATATTTTGGCTCCCCAAGGCAGGACTCCGGGTAAAATATATGCGTGTCGGTATTCAACCACAGCTACGTACTTGCAGGGACGGTGCCTCCCCAGCCAACGCTAACACTAACACTTATTTCAGTCATCAGGTAGAGAAATAGGTCGGGTGTGGTGCATGGTGCACGGCAGTCTCATTTAAGCCCAAACATCTAAAGGAGTATACGCTGCAGGACGGGGTTCGACTCCCCCACCCGAATTCCGTCAGTTGAGTTGAGTTTCTTTTTCTTTTTTCCCCCAATTTTATTGGGAACTCTGAGTTGGGGGATACTGGAGGTTGTATTTTGGCGCCCCAGGGGATAGTCAAAATAGTTAAATTCAACCACAGCGTTGACGTGCTTGATGGAAACCGGTTAACCGGAATATTCAGGACGGTTTGGGGCTGGTCGCAGTCAATGTATTTATTTTCGTCAACGGGTATAGCAGGAAATCGGGTGGGGTGCACGGTTCACAGTGGCCGCCGGTCGATAAATCTGTAGGCTGCAGCTCGGAGTTCGGCGCCCAAATTCCGTGAGTTCGCCCCCCACCCCCAATTTTATTGGGAACTCTGAGCTGGAGGCGAGGCTAGATTCTAGCACTCACAAAGCATTTTGGGTCTCCACTGGCCATAACACTCCTACACTTTGGGGTCAAATATCGATATTCGTGTCAATTCAACCACAACCTGTCCATGCCTGATAAAAATATTCAGGGTGGCGTGTGATTGGAATGCGGCCCCAGCCAATGCTAACACTTATTTCCGTCAACAGGTAGAGAAATAAGTCGGGTGTGGTGCACGGCGCACGGCGGTTCCAGACGAGGTATTTGAATTGCATATGCCGCAGGACGGGGTTCGACTCCCCGCGCCCGAATTCCGTGAGTTGACTTTGTTTTTATTTTTTCCCCGATTTTATTGAGAGCTCTGAACTGGAGCCGAGGCTAGATTCGAGCCCTCACAAGATATTTTGGTTCCCCACTGGTCATGGCACTCTCGGGTAAACATATGGATTTATATTCATGCCGATTCAACCACAGCATGTATTTCCTTGATAAAATTCCGGGACGGTGCCTACCCAGCCAACGCTAACGCTAACACTTATTTCAGTCAGCAGGTAGAGAAATATATCGGGTGTGGTGCACGGTGCACGGCGGTTCCGAATGAGTCGACAGACGACTAAATATGCACACGCTGCAGAACGGGGTTCGACTCCCCGCGCCCGAATGCAATTGTACGGGATGAGCTTTTTTTCGCAATTCCATTGTGAACTCTGAACTGGATTGGAACTGGAGGCTAGTACGCAGAAAGCATTTTAGATCCCCAGCACTCCAGAATAAAACATTGATATTCGTGTCGATTCAACTACAACGTTTACGTGCTTGATAAAACTATTCAGGACAGTGTGTGCGTGGTCCCAGCCGCTAACGTTAACACTTATTACTCTAACCAGCAAGTAGAGCAATAAATCGGATGTGGTCCACGGTGACAGTGGCCGCGGCACAGCTGGTAGGGGGTTCAATTCCCCGTGCCCGACTGCCAGTGCGACAATGTTGGAGAACATTTTTTATCCAATTTTATTGCCTGGTTATTCCAAGTCTGTTATTCTCCGGCATGATGATTCACGCCGAGCTGGAGGACACTGGACCCTAGTGCTCACAGAAGTATTTTGGCTCCCCTCTGGCACTCGCGGGTAAAAATATTGATGTCGGTTCAACCACAACACTCTCATCCATTTATAGAAGGCGTTGACAAGGTGGTGCAATTTCTAAATCATTTCATGAAAAACAAAACTACGGTGTCTCAGAAATTATTGCCTCGAGTAAAGGACGCCATAGAAAGTCTAAATCTAGCTGAATCAACTAATCGGACCTGCTGCGTTTCATTGAAAGTCTATAAGTCATCTCATGCACCAAACGACAGTCAATTTAGTCAATTTATTTCTCATTTGGGGACAGAGGACTGTGTACGACCTTTCTTAATGTCGATATTCTTGACATGCTCATAGATGCCTTCCCAAGATTTCATCGGCTGATTTGGAAAACTGAGCGTTCCCCTTTCTCTCTCGCATAGGCCTGAGCTAGCGGCGTGAAGGAGGGGTCGAGTTTCCCCGTGAACGTAGTTATTGAAAAGCCTGGGAGATCAAGCTGCGTGGACGGATTAGAGCACGCAACAGTTGTTCTGTAATACCGGAGAAGTATGTAGAGTTAGTGCGTGCATAGAGGTGGGTGCATGGATGAAGTTGAGTCGCACTGGGAGCGATTCCCCGTTCACTCGCAGATCCTGCCAATGTGTTTCATACATGATCAGCGAAGGAACCCAACAAGATGGGTATCTTGCAGGGGCGTGTCGCAAGCGGATAACTCAGGCGATTCTGCGCGCAGATATGAGTTTAGGGTTGATCATTACCAAGGAGATTAGCAATAAAAGTAAGAGTAAAATATTCTGTCGAAGACGGTAAATACAAAGGGCGGCAACAGGTAGGTACAGAGGATGGAGCAGAAATATCAATGTAATCAAGGTGGAAGGAGGACAGCAAGGATAAAAGGATTATCACGACCTGTACAGCCATTTCAGATTGGTTCCCGGGCACATCGGGATGTCCACGTCCGGCATATCGTCCGCTTGTAAGGTATGATCCAAAAAATCTTTGGGCGACGCAAACTCCATACGATGGACGATGAGGCGGCCGTCGGACCAAAGATAATAGCAGCCACCAGCTTGAAACAGGTAGATCTCGGACCCTGTGGAGACCATATAAGCCAGTGGCTCAACGGTGCTGGGGAGGTCGAAGAAATCTTTAAACAGTTTTTCGATCTTTAGCTTGCCATCAATGGTCTCCTCGAAGAGGCTCAGGCCTTCCCAGCCCTCCCAGTCGGTCGACCAGTCTTCGGGGAGTGATGGGTCGGTGTACCAATCCTTGTGGATCCAAGTGCGCAAAGGTGGGGGGCGGACATAGAAACCCTTGGTTTCCCGAATCTGGCCTGACAGCGATACCCGCATGAATTCTGGCACGGGATGTACCTACACAAAAAGGTTCACGGACTGAATAGCCGATAGATACAGGAGACTCACAATTTACAATTTTCCTTGCAAGGTAGGCAACTCAATGACGAATGAAGAACGTATTGAAACCTCTGAATTTGTTCTGGCACCCTTTTATAAGGTCCCCAAAAGCTGTGTGCGATCGAGGCGGATAGACATGTATCACAACTTCGCCATCATTTTCGGGAACTTCCGACAACTGTTGAATGAGCATTTTTATCGTCTTCACAAACACATCATGCAATTGCAATAATACAAGCAGATTCGTTCACCCCGGTGATTTCATATTCAAAACACGACACCAATGCCTTACTACCAGGTTTCCCTTTTCAGTGGCCCCCGCATTAAGGCACCAACTGTCTGAGAGCGGATAACCCCCGGGGGTTCCTGAGATCTCTTGCGTCAATTTGATGATTTCTTTTTTTTTATCTCTTCCTTCCGGCACCTGGCATTCGTTCAACATTCGATAAAATTGGACGATTTTAGTGCCAAACGGGTGAAAAACCACGAATGCACAAATTTCAAAAGGGATCCAATGGCAGAAGTTTTTTTCAGGAGCTATTTCGTCCGACTCTCTAAGCTTCAAAATATGGATCTGCACGGATTGTTGAATATCTCAAAGTGTGATCCATTTCTGAGAGCGACCACATGACCTGAATCAACTTTGCACACGTGCGCGATGCACCCAACAACGACATCGACTTCAGCCCTACGTCGCGAGCTGTGTGTTACCTATTGGCGCAGTTTACTTAGATGGTTGTTGAGTCGTGGGGTGAGCACGACTATAATCACACAGAGGTTGTAGTGGTTCAAGATAAAGTTAGTTATTGGCATAGTTCAGATTACAGCGGTTTAAATACTATTCATGTACAGCATAAGGAGTCATACGGAGTCATAAGGACTCATACCGAGTCAGACTAAATAGTCTACAATGTTCTACAATAGTCCGGCGGCTTGCCCGAGTCATTCCCGAGGCAGTGGCCGAGTTGTGCCCGAGGCCGATGCCCGAGGCACTTGCTCCAATACTCCCCCTCAAGCCGGCAGGAGTCCCATGTCCGAACTGAACTGATCATTCTTCATACGAGGTAAAGCCTTCGTTAGAATGTCTGCAATCATTTCGTTTGTTGGACAATATTCAACATTGACTGTACCGTTCTCAATACATTCCCGAATGAAGTGGTTCTCAATGCGGAAATGCTTCGATCTTGCGTGGTGTTGTGGATCGTAAGCAATCGATATTGCAGATTGGTTGTCTGAGTAAATCAATGTTGGTGCTGCTGGAAAATTGAAGGGTAATGCTTCAAATAAATATCGTAGCCAAATTGCGGCCCGAGTTGCAGCTGCAAGAGCTGAGTATTCCGCTTCGGCGGTGCTGAGTGCAACTGTCGGTTGTTTCTTCGAGTGCCAAGCAATTGGGCCACCAGCAAGGAGGTAGACATATCCAGACACAGATTTACTGTCATCTGGGTTCGATGCGAAGTCGGCGTCGCTGTACGCGCCATAGTGGTTGAAAAGAGATTCAGAACTCAGGTCCGGTCCTCCGAAAGTGATCCGCTGATTCTGTGTCCCCTTCAGGTATCGGAAGATTCTCTTCATTGCTGTCCAGTGTGTCGCGCTGGGATTACTGGTGTAGGACCCGATTCTGGCGACTGCATACGCTATATCTGGACGACTGATGGTGGCTGGCCAAATTAATGAGCCCATGTGCTCTGCAAAACTTTGGCCTTTCTCGTCGGTGGTCTGTCCTTCGGTTTGATTCTTCTCGAGGACGACGTTGGGATCCATCGGGGTCTTCACTGTGGACATCTGTTCGTATCCAAAACGCTTTAACATATTCTCGATGTAATGCTCTTGCGAAATCTGGATTGTCTGCTTTGCGCGGTCTCTGTATATCTCGATACCAATGAGCTTCTTTGGCTCTCCAGGGTCGTTAATTTCGACTTCTTGTTTCAGCGCGGTCTCTGTGGCTGATAGCATCGTGGGATTGTTGCTGAATAGCAGTAAGTCGTCGACCCAGACCGTAATGATAACGAACTGATCATTGATTCGGCGTACATAGACACCGTGGTCAACTTCTATGCGTTTGAAACCATACTTGGCGAGTATCCCATGCAGTTTTCGGTTCCATTCCCTACCTGACTGTTTGAGTCCATACAGCGTCTTCTTGAGACGACATTTGCGGCCAGAGCCATCGTCGAAACCTGGGGGTTGGTCCATGAAGACTTCCTCTTGTAAGTCTCCATTCAAATATGCTCCCTTCACATCTAACTGTTTCATTTCGAGGTCGTGAACAGCTGCGATTGCTAGGAGTGCTCTGAGCGATTCAAGACGTACAACCGGTGAGAAAGTATCGAAATAATCGATGCCAGGAACTTGCGAGTAGCCTTTCGCCACGAGTCTCGCTTTATAGCGGACAATGTTCCCTTGCTGATCTGTCTTTAGGTCAAATACCCATCGACATCCAACTGGCTTTCTATTGGCTGGACAATGTTCGAGATCCCATGTGGCCATCGTGCTCAGGTTGGCGAGCTCGGCATTAATTGCTGCTTCCCACTGGGGCCATTCAGGCGATGCTTTTGCCTCCTGAATGCTCTTGGGAATGTTGGGTTTACCTGGGTCAAGATCTCCGAGTGTTGCCTTGTACGCAAAATTTACGATTGGATTGTCCTCTTCGTCTTCTGCGACGGCATCGGGTTCTGAACCTCGATTGGGACGGTGTGCTTGCTCTCTGCGAGCATTGGGGTTTCCGAGTTTCAGGTAATTCTGATCTTTGACAGTGTGTGTTAACCTGCGGAGTGGGATTGGATTTAGCTGATTGGGTGTTGGATGATGTTCCGTTGCGAGACGAGGTGTTGACGGCGCTGATGATGACGCTGTGGGCTTTGGCGGATTTGCGCTCTTTGGTGGTGTAGCTGGTGTTGGCGTGGACGGTGGTGGTTGAACTGATGCTGATGCCATAGGTACGTTCTGTGTCATAGTTGGCTGATGTGCTGGTTTCGCTGATGTGCCATTCGCATTCTCGTTGTTCTCCCCCTCGGATGGGACATCGGGTGAAATTTCACTGAATTTGATGTAGGGATCGGTGAACTGGAAGTTGCGGGATATTTTGACGCGATGAGTGTTTGTGTCGTAGTACCGTACTGCTTTGGCTCCGTCGTAATGGCCACAAAATGTATGTTTAA